CATGTATGGATAAAAATTCATTCATTCCACACACTCTGACTATAACCACCCCTGCAGGGTCACCGAGCCTCTCTCTGGCCAGTGAGTGTGCTCCATTCACTGTACCTCCACAGCAGCCAGCCCCATCTGCCCAGCTCCTCCCCTCTGGAAGCCTTCAACGGCCCCTCCCAGTTATGCCCCTGTTGCCAGGGCTAGTGGCCCTGAGGCCAGCCTTGTGACATGTGATTCCCCAAAGGTGCCTCCTGTTTCCCTCTCTCTCAGCCTCCAGCCCGGGGCCTCTTGGGCCAGTCCCACCCTGTTCCCTGTGACCCATTGCTGCCATGTTCATGGTTTCAGGGCCTCTCCTAGACAAGCTCCGCCCGGAATGGGCCAGGCCTGCCTCTCGATCATCCCAGCTGCTACCATCTGTTTGCTGTCTGATGTTGGCTACGTTGCCTGCCCTCCCTGAGCCTCAGTTTCCCTACCTGGAAGATAGGATCATGTTGGAGACTAAGAATGATCCAATGTACTGAGCAGTTGCAAAGCCCCATGCATGTGACCTCGCTTTCTTCCCCGCAGAGCTGGGACAGGGGGAGTGTGACCATTCATCACATGTCCAGTGCTCTCTCACTGAATCCTCATAACGGTGACTGATGGAACCCCATCTTCTATAAGGAAAGTAAGGTCCCGGCTGGTCACAGCTCAAGTGACCAGGACTCACGCCACATATACACATAGCCATTGTGACTGTAAATACCCTCATTCTATTTTTCTTCAAGCTGAGTTGAATTTGAGATCCTTCTGCCTCCACCTCCCTAGTGCTGGGATCACAGGTGTGCACCACCACACTCAGCTAGATACTCTCATTTTAGAAACCCAGAGAGGCCCAGATCTGAGACCCAGAGAGGAAAAGTGACTTGTCCAAGTCTACACAGCCAGTCCGTAGCAGAACTGAGTTTGATACACAGCAGATGTTTGGAACCACTTGCCTGATTCTAACTTCTCAGGCAGATTTAGGAAAATAAGGTGGTTCACATCTGGCCTTCCCATCCCTCTTCCCCCACCTGGGGGACACTGCCAGGCCCAAACTGGACATGATGGGTAAGGAAGAGAGTCTGCTGGACTGGGGATGTTTCAACTGCTAACTCCAGCTGCCCTTGTGTTAGGGGCCCTGGTGCCTTTTGTTGGGAGGGACAGGTCTGTCTGGGTTCCTAGCATTCCCCACCCCACTATCCTTATTTATTTCTATCCCCACCCATGTGTCTACCTAATTATCTCTCTGTTCTCTCCACTTTTGTCCATTCCAGTTTCTGACTCTGTTCCCAAGATAAACAAGGCACGCATCAATGGCTCTTTGCCATCTAGGTTTTCAGGCACCCCAAACTTGGGAAAGTCCAACTGGAAGTGCCTCAGAGACCACCCTATCCAAGTTGAGGGGATGTGCCTCCTAGCCTTGTGCACCTGACACCCCAGATTCCGTGGGGAGTAGGCCATCCACAGAGTTCGTGGGGCCTGAAGACCCTTCCGCATCTATATCATGCCCTTTACTGCTAAATCCTGACAAAGCAGCCAGGCCCAAGGCTGGCGGGAAGTGCCCAGTGTTGAAGGCCATGGACTCTGCTTAGAGAATAAACTCTTTGGAAGTTTTGGGGCAGAGGAGGACACGTGGGGGACACCCAGGAGGAAGATGCTACACATGTGCCTCAATTTCTCTACCTGTCTCTTCTGCTTCTGTGATTCCGCCAGCACTTGGAGGGGTTTGGTTGGGGACATATGGTGTCTTCACATGTCTGGTCCCCTCCCTCCCCACACTTGCTGGTATAAGACTAGGGGACCCAGCTGCCCTCTTTGTAAACTCCTGTACTGGTGATAACCAGTTGCACAGTGCCCAGCATCAAGCCGCTTGTGCCCCTCTTTTCTTGGATATAAATGGGAACAAAAGCACGTGCTTCATAGAACGAACACTGGAGTATAAAGGGTACTCCAGGTTGCTGGGTCCAGGATCCCCTCAAACACTCAAAGCTGTAGATATTCAGTCCCTTACACGAAACAGCACAGCGTTTGCATAGAATATTCTCTCGTACACTTTCAATCGTTCCCAGATGACTTATGATACCCAATACGATGTAAATGCCATGGAAACAGCCGTGCGAGAGCAGCGCTCAGGGAATAATGGAGTGGTGCATGGCACAGAGCAGGTGCCATGTGGGTACATGCCCTCCCCCTCCACTTTAGTGTGTTCATCACCAGACCCTTCTGATAAGCAACAGGACACGTGGCCTCAGCCTCTCATCTCGCTGAGAAATGCCAATTCTCCCTGTCAGCCCTGCAGAAAGAACAAGCTTAGCTCCACCCCACCAGGGAGGCAGGAAAGCCAGACCCTTGCCCCAGGCAAGGCCCTGACTCCCTCTGTGCCTCTGCTTCCTCACTGGGAAAACATTTCATCCCAAAGCCCCCTCCAGCTCTGACACAATTCCAATCTGGGAAATTTCGGTGAAAAGCTCCACACACCTATTTTGGTACAAGATTTGGGGCAGGAAGAAAGGAGGAGAACCCTGGGTTCTTCATAGGATGGGACTGACCCCATGAAGGGGACTGACCCCAGGAACCTTCTGCAAGTGGCCTGCTTGCTGGTGTCCAGAGAGATCAACTGGCAGAACTCATCACCTTCCTGGTCACCATCAACTTCTCACTGGGCCTCTCCCACCCCAAAATTGAAGTCTTCCCCAGGTGTTCCCAGGCTCAGCTCAAAAGCTTCTTCTTTAAGGAAGGTTCTGGACTCCTCATCCCAGCCAGACGTCTCCTCTCCTTGACTCTGTCACTATCCTCTGACTCCTTTGCTGGTTGCCTCTCTCAGTTACCATCTCTTCTTTATCCCTGCCTCTCTGGCAACCTTTGCCATCCCACCCGGGCACTCACCAGCTGTACCTGCCTCACTCACAGCCTCCCCACCAGCTGGCCCTCCTGCCCTTGTTGCCAGTATTTGCCCAGAGTCATGGCCCGCAAGCCCCCCCACTCCCTAAACTGTACCCCCTGACCTGGGTGCCAGCTCCCAAAGGTGACATTGCCCTATCATCCCACACCACACAAAGAAGGGGCTCAGATGGGGCATGCAAACTGCCCAGGTCACATAGCACTGTCAAGATCAATATCCAGGCTGTCTGACTCAATTCTCATGCTGTTTATTTTTCTGGTGTTGGGAATTGAACACAGGGCCTGGGATGAACCACTGACTTATACCCTGAGTTCTTGAATGGACCTGCCACATCTCCATGTAAGGAAGAGTTCCTTTTCTGCTTAAATCACCTTGTCCCAGGGTCTTTCTTTTTTGTTGTTGTTGTTTATAGAAATTTATTAAAATTGTTGGTTTAATCTTCTGTCCCAGAGCATCCATCCAGTTACCTTTCAAAGGTTAAGCTGCCCGTTTGCTGCTGCCACGCAAACACTTGCGTTTATCAGGGGAGCAGTGCTGTCTACCTGCATTTCTCCAGCTGTGAATTCTATGGTGTCTAAGCAGGACGCTTGCCCTGTCTCCGCACCCCCAGGGTCTTTCTGAAATAGATCAACCAGCAGAAGTTGAAAGAGACCAGGGGGAAGAAGGGACCAGCAAGGGTGCTTGGTACGCAGGGACACCCACATAAATTTACACGAGGGGGCCTGCCATGATCTGAGCTCTGAGGTGAACTGAATTGGCTCCTCCTGCCCGGTCCTGTTTGTGTTAAATGGGTGCCTGAGGGACGACGTGAGGGTGGGCAGACTCCCTAGGCAGCAGCAGCCCCTGGCAGGATGGGCAGGGCCTTTGCCAGGTGCCAAGGGTTGATGGTCTCCGGAGGGTGGGCTGGCAGCCTGCTGTGGAACTCTGAAAAGCAGCTGCCGCTCCCCAGGGGGTGGGAGGTGGAGATCGCAGGAGAAGGGGTTTTTCTTAGCATCCTGGGTGGTGATGTGCCGTGCCTGCGTGTCTGGGGCATGAGGTGACCGCCAAATCAGATCACATCCACAGCCCCATCCCAGGGCCTGCCCAGGTGGGGATCCAGCCAGCATCTGCATCTCTGGGCTCCAAGATGCTCACCACTCACCAGGGCCTTTGGCAGCTTCTCACTGTCGTGGGGCTTAGACTACACTTCACCCAGATTAGGAGCCCCACTTCCTGCAGACATGGCGGGGGGGCAGGGGGAGGTCTAGGCACCCAACAAAGTCCATCCCATGAGGGAAGAAAGAGAGGTGCAGGGGGACAGGTAGCCCGAGTCCAGCCAGTTCCCCACCTGTGATAACAGCCCCAACTGCACAGTCAGTAGCTGTGTCCTCTGCCCACTCTGGCGCCTGGTCCTTACCCCTGTTGGGTCCTCAGAACCCCTGTTTAGCACGTGGCCCATGGCAGATGTACAGCAGGATTTGATAAGTGTGGACATAACTGTAGTTGATGCCCACATATTCTTAAAAGTCAGCACTGTTCCAGACTTGTACTATCTCTGCAGATCTGACGATTATCCCCAAGTTGCAAATAAGGAAATTGAGGCTCAGGGGGTGTCTGACTCAGGATTCTCCTATTTGACGTCCTGGACAGGAGGTGCCTTGTCTTCAACCTACTTAGAGGGTGGAAAGAGGCCATGCATGGATTTGGGGCTTAGGGTGTCTTTTGATCAATGGGCCCATTCCCAGTGAATTCCATGTCAAGGTCCCATTCCTGGCTATCCTTGAGGGCCAAGGTGGTCCCAGGGCTAGCCAGGCTAAATGTCTTCTTCCATTTTTTGTTCACACATATGTAAAGGAGCATGGGAGCCTCATCATTTGGGGATAAGCTTGAGGGGGTTCCTAACTGATCCCACACAAAGCTCCTTAAGTTCTCTGAGCCCCAGTTTTCCCATCTGTAGTATGGGAAAAATCACACCACCTGGCCAGTGGAAGTAAAACACAGGAACACTAGATAGAGTTATAATCTCTCTATGGAGTAATATACAGCAGTGAAAAGAATGAAATGGATCTACACATATCATCACAGATGAATGTCAGGAATATAGGGTGGAAGAAAAAAAGGTAAGTTCCAGAAGAATGCATTCAGCACGATCCTTCTGTAAAGGTGAAGGTGTAGCTCAGTGGTACAAATGCTTGCCTAGCATGCTCCACATTTGATCCCCAGCACTGGAAAAAAAAAAAAAAAAAGACACTGCCAAATAAATAAAGATGAAAAATACACATGGCAAGTGATATATATTATTTGTACATACACACATGTGTATTAACAGTAAAGGAATAAAAATATACTTTGAACAAAAGCAGGAGGCATGGTTTGAGATGTAGAGTACCTACCTAGCAAGTGCAAAGCCCTGAGTTCAAACCCAAACCTCAATAAAAAAAAAAAACAACAACCCACCAAGCCCAAGGCAGTGGTTACCTTTGGTGCAGTCACAGAGGTACATGGAGGTAAACTTGTCCAAGGTACAGGCTTGCCAGAACTTGGCCTTCCTCAGCATTGCCTGTCCACCTGTCAAGGCCAGTGATAATGGTGGATGGAACCATGTGGTGACAGAGGAGAACGGAGCCATGGCAGATCCAAGTGGTGTTTTAAGATACATTTAACAGCAGTGATCCTAATTTTGCCAGGCCTGTTTCTTCATCTGTGAAATGGAGAAGCACCCCCTTGCAAGTGTCTCAGAGAATCAGGTCATGATGCCTGTAAAGCCCTCAGCACTGCACCTGGCACCCCGAGGCTCCTTCAGCTATGGGCGGCCATGACAACTGCAGGCACTACCAACTCAGGGCACAGAGGAGGTGAGAGGCTATGTGGGGTCTTGAGACTTGGGGCCCCCAAAACTGGGCAGCTCCCCATTAGCCCACCATAGTCCAGGCTCTGCATCTCCCCTGGGAGGGAGGTCAGGCCTGGAGACACTTTGCTCCACAGCAATCCCTGAAAATCCCTTCCCGTGGGACTCACAGGCCCCACTAATCGGTCACACGGTTGACCTCGAGCACAGAAGCTGACCTACTCGTGAGTCTACATCACCTCCTCCCACCATTGTGTCGTCCTGCGACTGGAGGTCTCTGGCCAGTGCGAAGAGAGGCCCTGTGCATTCCGGAGAGCCAGATAGCCTGTGTCTATCTGGGTGCCGGGTGTCCATGTCAAGTTCTGGGAATAGGCCTGGCTCTGGCTCTGCCTGGTTCCATATCAGTAATGAACCTTATGTGGTGTGACAGTGTGACACTGTCCCCACCCAGCCTAAATTCTCCAGGAATCAAAACCACCTACTCCTGGACTCTCCCTGATTCCTTCTAGGCTGAGGGGCTTCCTCTCCCCTCCTAGCTCTGGTTGCCCTTCAGCCCAGCTCTCCTGGCATGCTTAGCTGTATATTTGGGGTTCTGGGTTGCATGTGGCACGTTTGCTAGGTAGGGAGGCTCATTCAGGCTCCTGTGGCTTTCTTCATCTTTGTGTGGCCCACAGGCTTTGTTCACCGAATGAGTCCTCTGCAGGGTTGGAAGGCTTTCTGGACTTCACTAGAACCTCAGTGAGGCCAGGCCTGCTGATGTATGCCCACGGCCTAACATTACACGTGGCACACAGGACTGAGGTGGGCAAGTAGACCAGAGGGTTAGTCAGCCTCTGCCTTTTCTGTTCATTGCCAGGTGCCTACAGTATGGATTCTCACCTCCTGTGCTCACACTTCTGTGGGGGTCTCCTTGCCATTAAATAGGGCGACTCTGTGGCCTCCAGGCTATTGCCAAAAAGATGATGTGTGACTTTGAGGTTAAGTTACATAGGCATTGCAACTTCCGCCCTGCTCTCTGGGACTGCTGCCTGTAGGGAAGTCAGCAACAGAAGGACAGACATCTGTGCAGGGGAACTGAGTCATCCTACCAACAACTACTCTGAGAATGAGCCACTGTGAGAGCTTCCCCTTCCAGTCAAGCCCTCCGGTGACAGCAGCCCAAACTGACACCTTGAGAATAACTTCACGCAAGAGCCAGAAGCACCCAGCTGAGCCACTCCCAAATTCCTGGCTACAGAGTACAAATGTGTACTGCTATTTCAAGCCGTTCCTTTGGAGTAATGTGGTACAGTGATGGAGAGATAACTGATACAGATAACCTGAGTTCCCACCACCTTCCTCAGGGCCTGTCCCCAGGTTGCCAGGAAACAGTCTTCAGGTGCACATGAAATGCAGAGGTCTACTCTTGTCCCTGGACCAGGGTGTGTGTGTCTGGGCTGGGGGGGGGCGGGGTGAGTCTGAGCCCAGGAAGGGGGAGAGGGCTCTCTGTCCCAGGCCCCAAGCTGGGGACTTTGTGTTCCCAGAGCAGACCTGACTGTGTGACATTGTTTCTCACTCTGGGGCAATGTGAATTGTGCTCCCTGAAGACAAAGGAGAGAACTGAGCCTCCCCGGTGATTCATAGGTTTTTTTCCGAACAACCCAGTCCTAGTGTATAAGGACCTGCTCCAAGGTGCTGGAAGACCAAAGAAAGAAACTGTAACATGAAATTTATTGGGGGGATTTACTGACAGAAGCAGCAGGACCAGCTGGATCCCTGCACTTGGGGTCAGAAAGAGGGTGCTTTTATGGGACTTCATCCAGGCTGGAATGTAGCTGATTTCTCTTAATAAGGAGTCAGGTGCTTCCCTGGAGCATGGGTTCAGTTCTTAAGCCTCACACATGACTCTATGGTTGTATCTATTTATGGTTTGCTGAGAAACTATGCAGGAAAAACCAGCTAAGTTTATTCAGCAGCCATCATGGTAGTTAGGACTCAAGATGGCTGCAGTTATGTCACAGAGCATCCATCCAATTGTGTTTCGGGAGGAGGAGTTGAGCATGTTCTGGGTTTTTTGTTTTTGTTGTTGTTTTGGCAGTGCTGGAGAGTGCATCCAGGGCTTCACACACTACATAAGCGCTCTACCCTGGCATAATCTTAATCAGAGGCTGTTGCAAAGCCTGCTGGGAAACAGATTAGATTGTTGATTCCTTTATTGCAGCATCAAACCCGACAAGTCGCAGTTTCTCGGAATTCAGCTGCACCCAGGTGAACTAGCCCCTCTCTGACAGACCCCAGGCTGGCACACAGAGGTGAAAAGGCCATGGAACCTACCTGTCGGAAGCTCAGCTCAGGCTAATCACATCTACTGTGTGTGGATACGGGGGCTAGCACCACTGCACTCAGAACCCAGCCACTTTCCACTATGGCTGCCATCACCCCACATGTGGACAGGAGCTGCAGCTTCTGCCTGTGCCCCTCCACCATATCCCAGTCCCAATGGGCTCAATACAGTCTTTCCAAATGATAAATCAGATCCTGTCACTCTGCAGCTCAAAACACTCCATTAACCTTGACATAAAAATGAAGGTTGAAGATTTAGCTAGGTGGTGGATCCTTTGCCTAGCACATTCGAGGTCCTGGGTTCCAGCCTAGCACACATATACCAAAAACAAACCCCATACCTAAAAACTTGTCTTTGGACAGATTTGGGGATCACAGCCTGACCAATGTAAGATCACAAATAATCACACCACTGACATCTGGGGCATGATGGGATGGGACGGAAGGAAAATAGCCTCACCTGTGAAGTCTTGACTAAACTGATTCAAAGTGTTTCAATTTACATAAAATCAGAAGGAAAGGCAGAGCCTGGTGGTGCACACCTGTAATCCCAGCACTTGGGAGGCTGAGGCAGGAAGATTGTGAGTTCCAGGCCAGCCTAGTGTCCACAGCAGAGACCCTGTCTCAAAAAAAATTAAAAAAAAAATAATAAATCAGGAGGAAGAGAAACACTTTAAACAGCACTGTGAGCAAATCATCAGATACCATGGCTGACCTGGACTGTTCATGAAAGTCAACAACGTTTTTTTTTTCTTGAGGTGCCAAGATGGAACCCAGGGCCTCTCACATGCTAGGCAATCACTCTGTCCCTGAGCCACACCCCCATCCCAGACCCAGGGTCTTATTCACAGTTGCCAAACACAACCAAATGTCTCTCAGTGGGAGAACGGGAAACTGGGGCTCATGCAGAGTAGACACCGTTCAGCAAAAAAAGCTGAACTGCTATAGGACACAGAAGTCTTAGCAAGTGTCTGGGACCTTGGGCTCCGTGTTAGAGGACACAGTCCACAGAGACGCATACAGCATGGTCCTACTGACAGGGAGCTCGGAGCAGGAATTAGGATCTGTGGCTGCCTCACATGGGGCAGGCGTCTCCTGGAAAGAGCTCAGGGAACCTTCCCCTTGGAAGGTAGTTGTGTTGGTCTCCTTTCCTTCCCTGTGACAAGACACCTGAGCGGATCAACTTACAAGGAGAAAGCTCTGCTTTGGCTCATCGTTTCAGAGGTGTCAGCTCACGGTTGTTTGGCTGCTTGGCTTGGTTGCTTTGGGCCTGTGACAGCACAGCACATCACAGCAGGAGCCACTCCATCACTCTAAGCAGCAGAAAGTCAGAGAGGAGGGGCCGGGTCCCAATATACCTTGCAAAGTCATGCCCCTAGTGATCTCACTTCCTTCCATTAGGCCCCACCTGTTAAAGGTGCCACAACCTCCCTAAGGGTTAGATGGTGCCTACCATTGCATTCCTGGTGGCCCCAGACAGGCCTAGGGTGGGCATGGGGCTGGGTTCTGGCCTATGACACCTAAAAGGACTTGCTACGGGGCTGTGGGAAAGGTTTTCCTTCTGGAGAAGTAAGAGGGCTGGGGTGAAGTTCAGTGGTGGAGCACTTACCTAACTAGCTCAAGGGCTTGGCTTTAGTCCCCAGCATCACAGAAATTCAAAACCAAAATTTTTTAAATGTACACCTGGCTGGGACCCAGCAGCTCATGTCTGTAATCCTAGTTACTTGGGAGGCTGAGATCAGAAGGATCAAGATTCAAAGCTAATCCAGGCAAATAGTTTGCTAGATTCCATCTCCAAAACAATCAGAGCAAAATGAGTGGGATGTATGCCTCAAATGGTAAAGCATCCGCTTTACAAGTGTGAAACCCTGAATTCAAACCTCAGTACCAGCAAAAAAGATGAGAAATAGGACTGGAGGTGTGACTCAAGCAGTAGAGTGCCTGCTTTGTAAGCACAAATCCCTAAGTTCAAACCCCAGAACCATCAAAATGTTAAAAAATAATAAAAAATAAAATAAAAATGAGAAATAATAGCCAGGGGCTGTAGGGGTGGTATGTCAGTGGTATGTCATGTGCTTTTGAGGCCCTGGGTTCAGTCCCTAGCACCACCGTAAAAAAAAGAGAAAAAAAGAAAATCTACATTCCGAAAAATAAATAATCAAATAAATAAGTTTTAAAAAGACACTTTCAAATACTCTCTTCTTTTAAATAGATTCTACGTTTAAAGAATTTAAGATTAGTACAGCGATGAAGCACAAAATGTAAACTTTCATTAGATCCTGTTTCTGGGGAAGAAAGGAGGGAAAGAAGGAAGGGAGGGAGGTGGATATGTGAACCCGGGGATATGTGAACCTCTGGAGGAAATTTTGAACATGGATTGAGAAGTAGGGCACGAGTTTCATTCCATTTTCTCTGGTACAGCAGTGCCGTGCTGTGCAAAGGAGCATCCCACGCCTAGGAGACGAGTAATCCAGATTTAGGGGTAGGTGTCATGACGTCTGCAAGTCACCTTCAAATGACTAAGCAAAGCCAACTCTGCCCAAATATTAACAGTGGTTGAGCCTGGGTCACAAATGTGTGAATGCTTCTTTTATATATTTTCCTTTTTTTTAATATATTTTAGGACATTTTCATAATGAAAAGTTGGAGGTACAATGCATAAAATCTGAAGTCCTAGCTGTGACCTGGCTTCTCCGACCTCACCCTCTGCCAGTTTCTCCCTTGTCCTCCCTGCACCCCCCCCCCCCCCCCCCCCCCACAACACAACTTCCTCACTGGTCCCCTCGGAGCTCAGAGACATGGACGAAGGCTGCCTCCACTGAACAAACAACTGTCTCTCTCATTTATTTATTTACTTACTTACTCATTTATTTGTTTGTTTGTCTATTTATGTTCTTGGATTGCTGGGAATCAAACCTAGGGCCTTGGGCATGCCTGGCAAGCCCTCTCCATCTCTGAGCTACAAACCTGACCTCTTCTCCAGAAGGAAAACCTTTCCCAAAGCCCCACAGCAAACTCTTATAGGTATCTTTGGCCAGATCCCAGCCTCTTGCCCACCCTGGACCTGTCTGAGGCCACGGAGAATGGAATGGCTGACACCAACCAATTCAGTTTAGATTGGTCTCCCAGGATGGGGTGTGTTGCCCTTCCCTGTAAATCAGGGTTCTTCTGGCCTGGAGGAAGGGGGGATTGAGGAGACCCTCCCCATCATGCATTTTTGGAACTTAGAGATGGTAAAGCTAATTCGGCACTTGTGCCTTCCTTTAATCCTTCCAGCAGGTTCTGGGGAACAGCTGGTCTCCAACCCCATTTTACAGACGGTGAAATGGAGGAGCATAGAGGTGGAATGATTTAGCCATCCTGGCTGATACAACCCCAAATTCTCCGTTAAGTAGAAAAGCTGCAGGGGCAGGACAGGCAAAATGTCATGTGCGTCCAGGAGGGGTGGAGTTCCACAGGACTGGGAGAGGCAGCACAGGGAGCAGGTGGGACTGGATGGTGCTTGGATAATGGAGGGGGCTACAGTATAAGCTCAAGGTAGGGGCAGGTGGAGGTTACAAAGCGAGCAATGGCAGAGTGTCAGGCACATGGGGTAAGGAGAGGAGGGAAGGAGAGCTAGGAAAGAGGATAAGGTGAATTCCAAGACCACCCAGTACACTGGAGGAGGGCGCACTCCTTGTTCTGCAGGCAATGGGGAGACACTGAAGGTTCTATGGGGACAGAAGTATGGCAGAGCAAGCTGAGAGAGCACTGGAAGGGTGAGGGGGAAAGTAAGAAGAGGTAGTGCAGAGCTGTGGACAGAGGGGAACAGCGGGGTGGGGATCTTTATCTTCGGTGAGCACTTCAGCATTTCACAGCTAAAAACTGATTTCTCAGTCTTCTGTTCTTGCACCATTCATCTTTGACGAATAGCCATAAGTGAAGGAGAGCCAAACCAAAGAGAGATTAAGCTGGGGCATGGATCGAGTGGAAGACCACTTGCCTAGCCAGCAGAAGGCTGGGGGAGCTCAAACCCAGCACCATTGAAAAGAGGTTAAGGGCTTGGACTTGGGAGCCAGAACAGTCCCCACCAGCTGTGCCCTGACGGCTGTCTGAAGCCTGTTTCCTGACTGTGAAATCAGGACATTAGATCAATGATGGCAGCCTCAGCCAGTCCCCCTTATCCACAGGAGATGTGGCCTAAGACCCCGAATGGATGCCTGAAACTGCAGATAGCACGAAATCCTACATATGCCACAGTTGTTTCCTCCTATGCATACATACCCATGATAAAATTTAATTTATAGATTAGATGCAGGAAGAGATTAACAGTGATCACTAATAACAAAACTGAACAATTACAATACTATAAAATAAAAGTTGAGAATGTAGAGGTACTCTGAGAGTGCTCCCAGCTTTTCCCTTGTGGGAAACACTTCTGGCTCCTTTGGCAGAGGTGGACTGCTAGCATCACTGCTCTTGCAGTTTGGGGCCATTATAAGTAAAATAAACGTTGCCTGAACACAAGCATGGCGACACTGGATAGTCCATCTGATAACACAACGCCTGGCATTCCTGGGGCTGTTCTGAGATGAAATGTACCAGTACAGAACATCCAGCCACGGTGCCAGGGCTGCTCTGGGCTGGGGATGCAGCAAAGTCCTTGCAGACCTAAAGGCGCCATGAGCATCTTCAGAAGAGACCTAGGAGTCTGGGCAGGGAGTGGGGCTGAAGGGAGATGGGGCAGGGAGGGTGGGGAAAAGACCTGTGAGCTGCCACCTCGAGTGGGTTGTGGGAACAGTGCTATGGGAAGAGGGAATGCCCCTCTTACCAGTAACAGGTTCTGGGTGAACTGCCGCTTTGCCTGGAAAGGACAGACTGAGGGACCCTTTACCCTTACCCTTCTCCTCCCATGGGCCTGTGTGTGGTGGTGGGCTAGTCCCTTCCCCATGCGAGCCTCAGTTCCCCTGACAGAGGCCCTTCTTTTAGGTTCTTCAACCTCTAACTCTGAGGCAGTGGCTGCTACGTACAGAATCATGAAGCACCCGTACTCACTGTTTCACCCAGCTCTCCTAGGCCAAGGCTGGAATCTTCCAGGCTGGTGCATCCTGTGCTCAGACAGGTGCTTTTCCAACAGGACTCCAAGAAGCAGCCAGGAGGCTGGCCGGGACCAGGGGGATCCTCAGAGGTAAGTGCCCCCAGCATGTGTAAGGCCCTCACAACCATACCCCCTGTACCCCCTTAGCAGGGTTGGCCTGGAGCCCCTGAATCAGCTGTGGTCCTAAGCCTGAAGCATAGGTCAGGCCCCATTTGCCACAGCCTGTGGTCGACTCTGGGCTCCGTGGAAGGCTTCAGCAGGCTTCATGGTTGACCTTGTGTGCCGCCATATCTGAATACTCTGGTGGTGGCTATGCGCTGAGAACTGCAACATACCGCCTACATGAACTCCCCAGGCCACCTGTGAAGGTCACATGATTCCAAGGACCATGCTCACAGCCACATAGCTAGGGAAGCAGCAGAGCCAGGGCTTGAACCCAACTCAAAGTGGGCCAAAATCAAATTGGCAACCTTTGCACCAGCTGCATGGGCTCTCCTGACAAGCCCCATTGAGCTGTGCAGGTGCTCAAGGGCTC